GTAATAGGGAAAAGAAAAGAAAGAAAGAGAGAGAGAAGGGATAAAATAAGCAAAATAAAAAGATACTTCAAAAACACTATGTATAAAGTAAGCTTTTAAATTTTATCATGCTTGTATTTAAAAATGAATTAGGGGGTCAGCCCGGTGGTGCACTGCTACAGTGCGCCGCTTGGGAAGTGCGGCGGCGCTCCCGCCGAGGGTTCAGATCCCACATACAGACCGGTTCCCGCTCACTGGCTGAGCGAGGAGCGGGGGCAACACCGAGGGTTGCGATCCCGTGGCCGGTCCCGGTCCGGTACAGGTGCGACACTGAGGGTTGCGCTCCGTTGCCAGTCACGAAAAAAGACAAAAAGACAAAAAAAAAAAAAAAATGAATTAGAAAAAGTAGGCAGAGCTAGATCCATATTTGCTGATTTATAGTGATGTCTAAGATAAACTGTGAAAAAAAACAAGTTGCCAATTAATGGCTATACCATTATTCCTTTTTGGTAAAAATAAATAAACCACCTACATGTCTGCATATATTCTTGCATATATATGTATAAGCAAGTGGACAGGGTGAAATAATACACGCCAAATGTTACCACTGGTTACCTCTACATAGGTGAGATTGGAGGAGTTCAGGAAAGAAATAATTAGCTTTGCATTTTTTTTTCTTTAGCTTTGCCTTTATAAATCTTTTTATTGTATTCTTGCAATTGACACAATGGGCATGAATTAATTTTTGAAATTCAAAAGAGGAAAAAACAGGGCAACTACCTGATCTGCTTATGAAATAAAATAACTTCTGGCAACAAGGGAAGCTGGGTGCCAGGACCAACCTCTCCTGCTACAAACAACCATAAAAACATTTTAATATTCTTTAATACATTTACAACCTGGCAAGAAAGCAAGACTTGTTCAGGTTAGAGACTGAGAAAAAGAGCACAGGCAGGATAAAAGAAGCACTTTAGTCTGCTTTTACCATGAGGGCATTTTCTGACAGGAGAACATGATCATTGGTTTCCAGTCACTCAGGGCTTTGATTAGAAAAGGTATCACCCAGGGCCTGCCCACGGTAAGAAGTCTACTGGGAGACAACCTCTTAAAACTAGGCCCCATAAGGACAACTCCCTCAGTAGTGAATTGGAAATCTGTGCCCTTTTAAGAGGGTATGCAATGAAAATCCAAACAAACACTGACTATAAAAAAACAGTAAAAATAACATCTGTAGGAATAAAAAAGAATTAAAATACATGACAAGAGTATTATATAAGTAAGGACAGGGTTGATTAATTTTAAAGGGTTCTAATGTCCTTGTTTTGTTCAAAGGAAGGCTTAGGCTTTGTTAAGTTAATAGTGCTAAAATTTCTAGGTTAACCACTAAAATAAAGGTATGTTATTTCCAAACCAGCAGAAATAAAAATGGAATAAATCCATAAGAAGATTTTATAAAAAGAGAGACTAAGAGACAAAAGGTGNTCATATCATATTTAGTCCTATTTTTCCACAAACTTTTTGAAGTACCCTCCTAATCTGATATTTCAAAGCAGTACATATGTCTAACTCACCTCAAGACAAAAATCCCTTTAAATGGCAGAAAAGATATTAGCCTATATCTACTAGAATGGTTAAAATTTAAAAGAGTAATAATACTAAATGTTCATAAAAATGTGGAGGTACTGAACTCTCATACACCGATGGTAAAAATGTAAAATGGTACCACCATTTTGGGGAAAAAATTGGGCAGTTTCTTATAAAGTTAAACATATACCAACAGTATGATCTGGCAATTTCCATTCCAAAGTATTTACCCAAAACAAATTAAAATAAACATATTTTTTAAAGATATGAAAATGTTTGTGGGAGCTTTACTTATAACAGCCAAAAGCTGGAAACAACCCAAATGTACATCACCAGAGGACTAGAAAAACAAATTGTGGTATATTCATACAATGGAATATTACTCAGCATAAGGAAAATGTGATATATATATACATATACAGAATATATATATATATATATATATATATATATATACAGAATATATATATACACACACACAGAATGAAATACTACTCTGCCCTAAAAGAAGAATGAAATTCTGCCATTTGCAGGAACATGGATGAACTTGGAGAAAATTACGTTGAGTGAAATAAATCAGGCACAGAAAGAGAAATACTGCATAGCCTCATTCATAAGCGGGGGAGAGAGAAAGAGAGAAAGAGGGAGAGAGAGAGAGATTTAAGAAAATAATATTACTTGGCAATAGAAAAAAATAAACTATTGCTAGATACAACAACATGAATGAATGATAAAAACATTACATTGCTACATTGCCTAAAAGAAGCCAGACACAAAAGAGTACATACTGTATGATCCCATTTATATGAAGAGTACATACTGTATGATCCCATTTAT